AAAAAATGTAACTCGTTACCGTTACAGTTACCAAAAAAAGAAAGTAACGCAGTTACCAGTAAAGTTACCAAAAAAGTAACTTGTAACTGTAACTTCGTTACAAGTAACGAGTTACTTCCATTCCCTGAATTAGAAATATCGAAAAAGTATAAAAATCTACTTGGGACGATATTCAGATTGGACTTTGAAAATGCATAAATGACAGTTAACCCTCCTATGGTAAATTTTCAATATAACGAAATTGGTATAAAAATAAATAAATAATATATATCATAAAACTTCTTTCTCTATTAAACAGCGCATGTATTTTGCAAAATGGATAAAGCTGAGAATCGCATCTGATCCTCCTTACTGTAGGAGGACAATAATAAACAATTGCAAGAGTCTGTTGCTAAATTATTTTCACCCGATGTTTGAATACAATTTCGTCTCTTCACTGTTCAAAATTCGCCTGTAATTCGGTATAAAGAACCACATTCTTTGCTATCTTTTATCTCGAAAAATTGTTTTCTTTTAAATATTCTAAGATACGACATAATCAATTGTCCTTCTTTGATCTTCTCTTCTCCCTGATCTGACTTTCAGATGTTCTTTTGAAGAATCTGAGCAACGACAACAATAATTTAATCAACCGGAAAAGGATGTATATGAACACCATGGAGACGATAATCAAAACAATTATTATATCGATGAGACAATGCTGGTACCAGGATAAACCCGTGCTGTCGCTACGGAAGTAAAATCTGCCATTGCCGCGGGCGACATATTCCGTCCACCATATCGCTGTTTCCATCGGCGTGGCAGGTCGATCACGGTAAGCTTTTGAAAGCCGTTGGGCATTCTTGTGATAACTGAAAGCAAAAGAAGATATTTCGATGAAGTGTATTGAGCTTACATACATTCTTTTATTCCTTTTCCACAATACAGAAAAAAGATCTTTCTATCCCTCTTCTTTATCCTTCTTATTATACATGTTCTATTCGAATATTATTCTACTTTTCTTACGTCAGAAATAACATAAATCAAAAACCGATTTTCTAGTTATTATCATGAATGAGACAGATAAACGTTACTGTTACATTAATCATCGAAAGTGATTAACTTCAATTATACCAGAATATTTGCGGGTTATTGTCATGTTTTTTTGGCTAAACACAGCGATAACCTTCAGGTATATGATAATTGAAGATAATACCCGTGAAAGCCTCAAATGCATTATCAAGTGATTAACTCAATGGTAAATATATATTTTATGTTACATCTTACTGATTTGAGTATCCTTTAAATATGTTCTAGAAGAGAGTGTAGTGATTCCTCATAAGGATTAAGTAAGGGACAACATTGATTTAGAACATATAACAAATAAAAGTTTCATAATAAGGTTTTTATAAAAATGATTATTTTCCCGCTTCGCATGGAAAGTACGTTCCTTAAAAGAGAAGGTGAGATGAATCTCGCTTTGAGTATAATTGTATTGTTTTACACGAGTTTTCGATTTTTCATGCAAAGCACGGTCTATCCCACCTCCCTCCTACCAAGAAACGTCCGACTTTTTACGCGAAAAACGGGGTCTACCCCATTTCTTCTCTTACCTAATCTGTCCTCAATGGCTAGACCTAGAGGCATATAACTTATCAAGTGTTTATATTTCATAATACCTCCTATATCCAAACTAGTTACGTAAAATTATTTTTAATTTTGTTAAGATTTTTTTCGCATGATCAGAAAGAGCTCTTGTCGAGCCATGTGGCTCTACTGCGAAATGGTTGCTTGCTGATACGAATCAAGACGAGGCTGCAGATCTAGTCCCGATACCGATGGAGCGCCTGATATTTTTCTCAATCTAGCTCTTACAGTTGCTAGTCCAGCTTTTACTAGTCTTACAGAATTTGTCATCTGAGATTTGCTTGATATAAAAGTTTTACAGCTTATTGATTGAAAATAAATGTGTGACGAGTTTCGGATCACTTGAACAAACAATACTGAGTTTGTAAAACTAAGATTGAAAAAGTGTAAAAAAATATTTCTCCTAAAATAAAAGTTACGTGCTTTGCAAAGATTCGAAACATCAACAGAGCCGAAATTCCGTGTAACAGTAGTTGCGCGCGAAGTTACGCGGTCTTACGATAGATGACGTTATAGAGTATTCACTGATCGCCCGACTAGCTTTGAGCTTCAACCCTTCAACAAGACCGCGGAGCGGTGATATAAAGTCCTATCCTTTTCACTTTCGGCGCGTCGAAGACTGCGAGAACGAACAAAACAGCGAGAGAGAGAGAGAGAGAGAGAGAGAGAGCGCGCAAATTTTTGTACATAGAGCGAGACACCAGTACCCAAAAATCTATCTATCAGACACAGACTCGCAATCTTATGTAAAAATATAGTTTCAGTATAAATATAGTTTACATAACAAAATGATATATAATAATTTAATAATGTAAATCACGTAATTTAGATTGTTCCAATTATTTAAAATTTGTTAACTATAAAATCATATAAATTATTTCTAATATCACGTAATTTTAAATTACGTGACTTTAAAAAATCACATACTTATTTCGAACAATCCGTTATGTGATTTATAATATTTGTTTTAATTATATGATTTCGTTATGTAATTTTGTGACATAATTTTTTTCAGTAGGAATACACTGCCAACCTTAACGTAACGTCCATATAATCGAGAATATTGTCCCATAAGCGAGAGGTCAGATGGGGAGTTTTTGCGGGTAAATCATAATTTAATAACGCCTCGATGTACGCGCGATATACATAAGTGTTGTTTCGTGATGATACGAGCTTTTAATCGAAATATACGTTGATTTTGTGTAATATAGATAGGAAAGGGAACCTAGTTAAACATGATTATCGCAGAACGATATTACGCGAGTGATTAGAATGTTAATAACGTTGATAATGCAGTCAAATCACCTCTCATATCCTATCCAACCGCATGTTTATAACAGAAAATGTTCGCGCATGGCCGCCGCGCGCCGGTGCGGTTAATATGATCCTTATCTTAAAACGGAGATAAAATTACGACGATCTGAGTATTCTAAAGAGCCATTACAATTAGGACATGCTATAATGGATGAAAAATGACCCGCGCGTTATCTTCGATTTGAAGGAAAGTATATATGTATATATAATTCTCATACATAGAAACTATGTTCATAGTGTCAGGGTATAACCCAGTTTCTCGTAATTGCAACGTGATTGTAAAATATACTTTGTAAAGCATTAAAACGCGAGTAATTTCTAATCTAAAAATTATTAAAAATTAGAAATAAAGAGAGAGAGAGTTGTTAAAAAATTATTTTTATATTCTTTTACACTTTACATTTTAAAAGAATACGTATTTAACTAAAATATTATTTCGCGTAATAAATATTTTGCAGTACATTTTTAAAAGATGCTTACATATTAGCATTATTAAATTGACAGTCAATATATATCGTTAATAATTGCTGTGAAACAGTCTTTCGTGACAAATGTACATATACTACGTGCATATAGTATATATATATATATATATACATAACACTTATATGTGCTCTCATTACCGAAAACCGAGCGAATTATTTAGTCAGAAAAGTACTGAAGCCGATATCGCGAAGTTACACCATCTCTGCTTCTAAAGGCTAACTTATATCTCCGGAGAATTATAATTCCAATGATATCTCTTTCGAATCGGTCGTATACGCCGTGATGCACCGTACGAACTTACTCTCCTAACTTGCAATGCTATTACGGAGGAGCCCTTATTCCGCCACCCTCTTTTTCTTTTGGACGTGACCTACCCTCATGTGGAATTCCAAATATGTATAGGTTTGAATTTTGCCACCGTTTAAAACTGCCTGAAACCTTTTTTAAGAGGTTCTTTATTCGATATTGAGAAATGAAAGATCGGGAGACTAACATTCCAAACTTTTTTACTTTTAAAACAGACAAATAAATTTTAAAGTAAATAAATGAAATAACTATGTAACATAAGCAGCTTTAATTTTAATCCTCTCAAAGCAACATTGTCTTATAATAAAAAAAATTCTTTTTACTAATTTTACTCCAAAATAGATGAATTACGATTGGCGGTTTTAATTCTGTTTCACTCGTGTAAAGTTGACCTTCCAACTTTTAAAAAAAATTAATTTTGCAGATCATTTGATTGCTCATTGGTTGCGTTCAGCAATGGTTGTGCGTTTTATCTGCTGAACGGTCCTAAATATACTCAATATCTTAACATGTTTACTCAGCGATCGCCATGATTTCCAGCGAATTAAAATGTACCAATTGGTATATTATTTAACTTAATATTTTTATAGGCAGAATAATTAGGACAGTTATGTTAAAAAATCACATAGCAGCGCCAAGTATTTCTACGTGAAAAACACTTTTCTATTTAAATTAAATGTTTTCATTTTATACATAATTTTTTAATTTTTTGTGATAATGCAATTTTGTGATGTTTTGGATAATGTTTTAAAGGAGAGAATTAAATAATTATACTTTATTTTTAAAAGAGAAAATCATAAATTACATTTACTTCTCTTTAATCTTACTTATTAATAATTTACATTTATACTTTGTAAATTTCTAGCATCATATTAGAACTCAAAGATATTATGTTCATATAAATTAAACTCCTATAGATTAGTTTATATGGACAGCAGAACAATAATGCTAACGCACACATTTTCTTCTTTACACGCACACATTCTACGACAGTAAAGTGGCCCGGGGCTCCAAGTTCCGATCCAATTAGATTTTTAATAAAAGTTTACCCGTCCCGTCATGAGTCACGTACTAGCGGGGGTCCCTATGGGTCGAGAAAAAGATTAACTGGTTCTCTGAGTAACCAATCTTTTGACACCGACCGAATGTCTTTTCCATCGGATTAGCCAGGTTAAGGGGATTCTATAGATGATTAATCATAGTGTAAATAGGATTTACACACAGACGATTTACGTGTCATTGACATATCACAACATATGTATACTACTATCAATATCTCAGTCACGCATGCCACACATACACATAAATTTTTGTATAACAATAACGTTTTACACAACAATTAGGAAATAAGGACTCTAAACGGTCAAGCTAGATCTTTAGTACTGATAATTCTATGTGAATTTATACATATATTACTACATATATGTAATCCTTAAATTGTGCGCTGAAATTATTTTCGATCTTGCAACGCAATCCGACGGAACTAGGAACCTACTGTAGTAATATCACAAATTAAATTAACGAGCAATTGAATAATTTGATGTTTAATTAGGCATCCTATTAAAAAGATGTTAATGTGCTACAAAATCGTAAATAAATTTATTACGAAAAATATTATCTCGACCGGGAGTCAAACCCGAATCTCTGGCATTCTATACGAGCGTCCTAAGCTCTTAGACTGCCAAAACTTTCGTTAATATAAATAACGTTTTAATTTGACATCTAAGTCCAATTCTAAGAACTCCAGGTTATTTTTTTCATGCAAACTACTAATTTGTAGACTACTATTTCATAAGTACACATTGCACGGCTTTTATATCAAAGTGATTACTTTTGCTTCAACGTTCAATAACTAGGTGAAAAAAAAATCGTACAATGTTCAATAAAAAAGTAAATTAAAAGTAAAGATTCACTCTTTCGATTGCTGCAAACCGTATTTTCGTGTAATTTTTACCTCACGCCATAGAACTTTGTAAAGTTTGTGAAAAGTTTTTAGATTTGATGGATATTCATATTGAAATTTTAATTATAGATTTCGAAAGTAGAGATTTCAAATGCTTTTTTAATTTTTTGTCTGCGATGATTTTTCACCGAGTTACGGTATATTCTGAATATTGCCTAAATTTTAGCGTGTTCGAAAGTGTTCCCTAGATTTTGTTGAGTAGTATATATTGTACTATTGTACAATAATTTCATCCTATAAAATATTCTTCTGACTTATCTCTCTAGTATAAGGAATGTAGTAAATTCCAATAGAATATCTCTTCTTAACTCTACAGCCTGTTTGATATTGAAGTTGATTATTTCTTGATACAATGATTTTGATGACAGATATCGAGTATAAAATAATTACGTAATATTCTTGGCAAATGTACAAGACCAATGGCATTATTGTAACTCAAATAATTTAATTTTATAATTATACGCATTAATAGTATCTCGATTAATTGGCATTCAGTCATAATTAACGACGACTGCACGACGAGCCGCCAACGAACCGGCAACAATACGATTTTGTTCGGTCGCCGATGATCGCATATTGTGTTATATTATTTATCAAAATCGCGATAATGGCGACTGAATCAGGTCCGGTCAAATGATCGAGCAATTATTATCGAGCTGTCATTAATCGGGAGCTTTACTCAGCATATATAATTCAATTGCAAATGCAACGAAGCTGAAGAAGAAATTTTCAAATGTTAACACGGATTTGTTGCTAGAAATCCGTATGTTAAGGTATAAATTTTTCTAATTTAACAATTAAGAATTTTCCTCATTCACCATTTATCTAACCATGATCTCAACTGCTATTCTAATTACGAGAACTACGCCATTGCACCCACATTCTCTGCTTCTGTTTACATTAAATATATTAAATAAAGTTACAAGGAAAAAATAATTTTATTAAAATATTAAAAAATTTAGCTAAATATCCTAGGTCTGAAAATAACTTTATTGGATCATAAATATAATTATGAAGATTCAAGCACAATAAGCAATGCTGCAAAAAAATTTTTATATTGTATAGCAATCAACTTTTAAGTGTCTTATTATTTTGATAGTTTAACAAAATTGATTTTTTTCAAATTTATATCTAGCTAAATATTAAGATACTTTAACAAAACCATTTTTTGTAGAAAACAAATTTCTCATTTTAGGATTAAAATAAAGAGAAGAGGCGTACCTGGTATCATTAAAAACTTTATCCAGAGCATGTCTTAATGTTTCTTCGGTTAAATCGTTGTATGCAACCACCACCGCGGCACCTTTGGTCTCCGCAGCAGCAGAATTGTGAAACTGATCACCGTACATTGGTACTAAGACCATTGGTAGACCCACGTAAACACTCTCCGAGAGACCGAGAAGTCCACCATGACCCAAGTAACATTTAACATTCGGATGGTCTGAAATATGGTAAGACAACAATTACAATTAATAATAATAAATTAATTGATAATTTAAAATACTAGAAAGAGCCAGACAAATCGGATGCAAAAAAATTTAGAAAATTTATCTCAATAAAGACATTTTTAAAAGTCAAAATAAAAATTAAAATAAATAAAAAAGAGAAAGATCATGACGATATTTTCTATGTGATTTGATATCGGCTGAAAATTGTGTGGTGATAACTTATAGGTAGTAAAAAAGAGAAAAGTCAATGCCTGATTGTCAAATGTGCATCATTAATAATAAATAAATTATGAAAATACACTATTTTTAATAAAAATAACATTAATATGTTAATAAATGTTATCTTTCAGTAACATTGTTATACCTATATGTAGTAAATATAATTAACAACATAAAATTAATTAATTAATTAATTAATTATTTGAAATAACATAATTAAGACAGGTATTTAATTAAATGACATAACTAAAAAAAGAGACTGATTTTTGCAATTTTTTAATAAACCGACATGTTTAAACTAAACTAAAAATCTGACTCGCATGATAAAAGTGATAGCATGATAATTGATAAGTGACATCCTTAGAGCAGATATGTTATGTTGGTGACATAAATGAGATTAGTGATCGTTAATTACATTAGTAATTGTGTTCTAAACTAATATTATACTAAATAATTATTTACAAACTGATATTATAAATGTATACTTCCAATCTGATACCAACGCATTGGCGTCGCAATGCTCAAATCCGCATATGTAATGTCAGCCAATCACGAAGTAGTTGGTCACATCACTCACATGATTAAGTGAACGATTCTCTTTTCTAAAGATCCTCTAGTATAGGGGAAGGGAGGGCAAAGAGAAAGGAGAAGACAAAGCGAAGAATATTCGTATGTCCCATTTGAATACCCGAGCGTGCCGCGGTTCATAAATAGATATGCGTACGAGTCGCTATCTTATCTGGAGACACGGTAGTGTCTCGGCGCTAAGCCAAGCGCGCGACACTGCCGTGCCTCCTTTACGCGAAACTGAGAAATTTCGGGGTCGAGATGATCAGATCTCAGTAACGGCTAAACCGATCAAGTTCTACAAACGCTCAATCGACAGGAAATACTTAAATTGTATAATAAAAGTGCTTTCATTTTTTTCCTACGTGCCCTACGAGCGGAGATATCGCGACGCAAAGTCCGAATCTGTGAATTTTCACGTTTCAATTTTTAAAATACGTCGTCGTCAACGTCGCCGACCAGAGAAAATGTCCATCTCGTTTTTTCGATAATAAGGATCTAATTTTTTTAAAGAAGAATTAAATTACTTGGTTTCGAATAGGAAGATCTTTTAATAAGAATACAAAGGCATATACTTAGGTTTCATTGTATGAAGATAAAGATAA